ACTGCAACAACATGGAATAGAGCAGCTGCGAGAGAATTCAGCAAAAATTAATCAATGGTATGGAAGTCTAGGAAGTGCAGTTTTTGGCTTTCCCCATATTCCAAAAGTGCTTGGTCTCTTTGCTATTACCGTCGCCCGACATAATTTGCAGATGATATTGTTTGCAGCCGCTGCGATGCTTTCGACCAAAACAGGCGCAGCTTGATGACACCATCAACATTCGCTATCGCAGTAAAGTCAAAATCTCTACCGTTGGCCAATTTTATATTGTTTCTACCGTATACCTTTTATACCGCCCACCCCTACCTGAGAGGATTTTGTACTAAAAAGACCACGTCAGAAATTACTCTTTTGATTTGTAAAACTCAGACTGCTCAGGCCTCAGTTTCAGCTGAATGCACATGAATTGAAGATCAACCAGTATCTCTTTTAACTTCCATATGGCCATGTGCATTTTAAAATGCAAGGACTTTGTTCTTCAGTGTTCTGTTTTTGACTGTAGCAATGCAAAGAACAGTATTGTGTTTTCATTACCAGAGTTTCCTGCCTCAGAAGCTTCTGCAAAAAGCTCATCTTCAAGCTCCTCTTCCTCTGGGAGAGGCCTAAGATTCATACAAAAGATAATGATACATTCAGCAGATTCACGGTTAATGGGACTTTGAAAAACCCAAACATGTGATGCAAAGCTATGAAGCATGATATAAGTGCGATTGAGACAGTACCGTGGAAAGTCCTCATCCTGCCACTCTTCCTTAAGTTCAACTCCTTCCATTCTGAGGCGGGCTTCTGTTGTGGCAACTGACTCTTGACGTTCAAGGCTGGGAATGAAAAGGGGAAAAAGGTTGAACAATCTGTTATGGTTAACAATCTCTAACTGCTCGATTGTTGTCTTGCACTTGAAAATGTATCAAGATCAGGAGGAGGGCAAGCGGAAATTATCTGTGAAATCCAAACGTGTAATTGGGCATCTTAAAACAATGACTTGTTTAGTCTTAAAATGATTAAGGGGAAAATGCAGACGCACTCCTGATGTGCTGAAAGTAAGGCAATTTTTGTCCTTGGGCTAATACATCATCAATTAAAATCTTCAAAAAGTCAGTGTATAATAGGTACACTTGGCTACACAAAAGCACATGAGCATACACTGTACGAATAAAGAAGGAAGAACATCTGCCATAATAACTGGATTTATTCGAAACAAATCAATTCGATTTTAAATTAATAAGCTGACAAGTAATTTTACTTAAGCTATACTAATGCAAAAGGTACCCAACAAACCCAAAAAACAAAACAGTCCTCTAATACTCAAAATGCTGCCAACTTAAAGAACCAATATATGTTTACAGGTCTGTAGGTCCAAAATAAGGGTTGGCATTTTTGAGTAATTTTTGACCCCCAAGAACTGTAAGGAGGTGAAAAATATCTTTGACCCTTACAATGAAGGCACCAGAGCCTGCAAGTATTGATTCACCCACCAATATTACTTATAATTGCAAAACTAAAATCTTCTTTACATATCACTACTATGCATGTGTCACATTCATGTTTATTAAAGGAAATAATATCTAAAATATTGAACTCATAAAATAACTAACTATTGGTATTGATCCTAAAAATCCTATATCTGTCAGGCTACGTTTTCATTGCCAACAAAGTAGAGCAACTGTAAAGTGTGGGGTAAAAAGATTATGGAGATAAAAGCATGTTTTTGGACTGTATATTCAATATTGTAGCTTTTAATGATTAAAGCAACCTAAAAGGAAGTTTATCCTCATTGCCTGTGTTTTCAATTAATAAAATATCTTAACATGAGACAAAAGTAATCATATGAAATAGATGTTTGAAAATCTCAGTTTCAGTAGCTTCTTAAAAAGCTTACAAGCTTGTGCTAAGGGCTTAGTTTATAAACCGACTGCTCACCAGTGCAGACCAATGGTATCTGTATCCATGTTGTACCAAGCTCCCTTTGATGCATTAATCATATAGACTGCGGAATTTGTACTTCCAGACACACAAACATTCTGGGCATTCAGTACTCAACATTTCATAATATGTCAGTTTAGCTGTCTACTTGTACATGGTGCTAATCCTCACATTACATCTGAAATCCAACTGCTACAGGAATGTAGTTTCCTGAGAGGGAACCATTGCAATCAATGCAAATGGAAGCATATAGAAAGAAATTAGCTACATTAAAAAGTCAAAAGGAAAAGATGACAGAAATTTTAAAGGTGTAATTATTATACTGAGCACAATAGAGAACTGAATTAATATGGATATCAGTGGGGGATGGTTTAACTATGGAAAAACTTTAAAGATGCAATGCTAATTTGTTTAAATAAAGCTCAAGGCAAAAGTAAATGTGTTACCAGTTAAGAAGTCATTTTTTATATTCATAATTTCAACATAAATGAAACAAATACAAGATTATTGTAAGTTTATCATTCTATCTACATTTATTTTTGCTGCGTTTTTCTGTTTTAGTTATGTGAAGGGTTGAAGTCTGTTACCATTCTTTATAGCTCCCTCCAAGTTAATATTCACAATAGTTCGTTTAAAAATCCCTCAGGGGTGCAGAGCAAAGTGCACTAATGTCTGTAGAGAAAACCTTCAATTTCACATCTTAACAAGTTCAGAAGTTAGGCAAACCTTTGTAAATGACCAGTTTGGCTAAACTGAAGCAGCTTTTTCTGAACTTAAGATCTGCAAAGTAATCTGATGGTCCTGAATTAGTTTTGGGATGGCTGGTTTCCAACAGTTTCTGGCAAGATGTTGAAAACAACTATTTTTAGAGCAAAGTACCAGTGCTACAAAGACGTAGATGAACTCTGAGGTTAAATGATGACATTTTTGGAAGTTAACTCCTGGACAAGCAATTTTCAAGATTACTGCAAAAAATGTAAAATAATAAATAAAAAACACACCTATAAGTACAATGTTTTAGAGTTTAAGTATCCACGCCATGTCAAGTTGCTTATTTTTTCCTGCATGAAAAAAACATTACTGACAAATATCTAATAAGAGAAATGGAATGAAGACACAAGAGTGATTGGCTCCCAGTAAGCAATATTTATTGACAATAATAGTTAAGGATAGGTGGCTTGTCAATTCTGAAATCCATAGCTTTGACACATCTTTCTGCAGAGGATCGATGTTGTGCTAAAAAGTGACTCCTGATTTTTCCATGTTTCTTTTTTAATATGTAATATGAATTTTTAATGTCAATGAGACTTTCAACCTGAATAAATAAAAGGACATATAAAAGTCACTCTTCCAAAAACTGATTTCAGTTTCTACCCTATGACAGGGATGCTTTTCTGGCTGAAAATGACTTCATTCATGAGAGACATGTCTGAGATATATTTCACAGACTGTAGGCCAATGATACGACGCTCTTTGGCACGTCACCGGAGCCTATCCCAACTGACACAGGGCCGTCAGACTACGCTATAACCAATACAAAGGCAGATAAACAAACAGTCACATGTACACCTAGGTCCACTTTAGAACCACCGACAAAACTATCGTTTGACTCTGGGAGAGACTAAACCATATCTGTGCTAATTTTCTCATAGTTTGCTTCTATGTAAGGAAAACACAAAAATGTCTAAATACACACCTTCCAGTGGCTCCAGCTGGTGAGCGTGGCTGGGGAACGCTCACCGGGGTAGAGCTTTTTCCTCGTTGCTTCTGCACATTGTCTGGAGTCTTCCTTTCTTGTGGTGTACCGCTTGTTTTGGTTAGACTGTCTTGAAACTCCTCTTCGCCCTTTTCTGCAGCAGAAGCTGTGCTATTTTGCAATTCGTCTGTTTCCTCGTCATCGCCTTCTCCCGATACACCGGATGATGACGGGCTGGAAGTCTGTCTGTTTCCCAAATCCTCAAGAGTCCTTCTGGGTGTGACAGTATCTGGGCTGCTATTGTTCAAATTCATATTACTTACACCCTTCAGCACCGCTTCACTCTCAATCACATCCGATGCCATAAGTTTCTCCGGTTGTCCCGGTGGTACAGCAGATCAGAGTTAAAGAGTCTGACCGTGAAACGCTTTAATCACCGTTCAGCTCCTTGACCAACTCAACCAGAAAGAAAAATCTGACTTACAAAACTTCTTTGGAAGTTTGTGGCTAACAGGATAGCTCTTGTCTGCTGCACAGCTAGCCCAGAGACGTGGCGCTAGCAGCTAGCTATGCCAACTAACAGCATATCTCATTAACCAAACAGTGTCAAATATCACGCGAAGTCTACAGATAGTCACCTTTTCTAAATGCGTCACGGTGTTAACTCAAGAGTCCCAAAGAGTTCTAGCTTTGCAGAAGCATAGGTGCGCAGTTATCCTACTTATCAGTTTCCTTCCTTCCTTCCTCCAAGTCCAGAGGGCTCTCCGGTGGACGTAACACATTCAGTCAGGCTAGCTTTGGGGTTAGCAAAGTTTAGCCACGACAAAACAAGCTTTGTATTCCAATTAACGCTGTCTATGAGCCAAAAAAGAAATAATTCGGCAGTTATCAACTACAGCTCAACGTAAAGACAGTCTTTTCTTGGACCCATGTTAAATACAAAGACTACTTCCTTTTAATTTGCCGACACACGAACCTCGGCAACTAAACGGCAGAAGTTAACCGTTTGCTAACAACGCCTTGCTCTATCATGGATATGCATACAGTCAGCGGAGTTGCCAGTTGTGTTTCCTGCAGATTCTTCGGCATAAACGACACAGTTTGTGGTCACGTGTGATTTATGAATTTATTTTTTTGTGTGCAAGCACACAAAAGCACGCCAAATTTCATTAAAATGTCATTTTGTTGCACTGTAAGCTTTTCTTTTTACTGCCCTGCTGTGATCACGAGTAACATAATGATATTCTATTTTCAAAACTGAAACTTCTTTTTGAGTGTCCCACATAAAATAAAGTTAGCAAAATGTAGATTATAAAGTATGTAATAATAATGATAAGAAACAAAACAACGCAATATACCTAAAGAGTTAATCGCTCAGACTGCTCTGGTCCGTGGAAAACGAGCAAATCTGGCAACCCCTAATAGCAACGGCCCTTCCATTAGCCGCAGAAGTGTCTTTACCCTAGCAAGCTTCACTGCCCTCTGCTGAAACTGGAAACATATAATGACAAGGTAGAGACTACACAGTCTGGTTCACACACGTCTCTAATCCAGCTCTGTTGTCCAAATTGTATTTTTTGCTTTCATCTTGCTATCCATTAGTGATTCGTGCAGCAGTGGGTTAAAGGTTAAAAACCGCAACGTGCTGATTTCGTCTGATGGTTTATACTAGGAATCGCACTGTTCTCTCTTATAGTGGGAAGTAACTGCTAGTTATTTGGTCAAGCCAAAGTAATTTTTTTTCACTTTTTCTTTTTATTCACTTTATTTAATAAGCATTAGTGACGCTGTGTCTGAAAAGGCAACACTGTAAAAAGAGCTTGTGTTATGATATATTTCATTACATTAGGGCAGTAACATTTATACCTAATCCAGCAAATAATCTCTTAGCTAATAAGGTTACACAAATAAGTAACTCTGAGCGCAATTCATTTTTAAAAAGATATGTAATCGGATTATAGTTACTTTGTCAGTGATTACTTCATTATCCTTTCAGTAATTATTTAAAATATGACTTTATTCATCATTACCAATGAAATAATGAAGCTGTTGAAGTGCATACTTGTAGCCTGTCTTGTATAGTAGGCCTCTGTTTTTGCAAGGCTAATTTGGTTTGACTAACTGTAAATGTTGAATATGCAAAGTTCTCCTGTTTGCATAGAAATACCGAAAAGAAAAGCATTATTGTGTAATGCTTTATCCATCTCTAACTTTGCAGTAATTACTTTCAAAGAAATTCTAAATTAATGGATTTAGTTATTAACTACATGAAATAATGTCAGTTATGGTCAATAGCTGACTATTGCAAAGTAAACTGAACCAGTCCTGTGTATAATGCAATGGAATTGGTATTTTAGAAGCCCTGTCTGTTTTATCAGCTTTCTACCTGCAGCCTCCAGCCAAGAGATTTTGTGTGCACAAAATAATACTCAGTTTTGTATGTGAGAATGCAGAGTTGTCAGAAGTGTACATACACTCATCATGGCCATGAATATCATGGTAATTGGGGGCTTTAATGATTTCTTTGAACTCTTCTTTCTTTCAGGGTGGAATGATACAGTGCATATATTTAATGACCTTAAAAAACAAAAATTGGGTGCACAAGTTTGAATTTGAATTTATTTTACTCTTTCTTGGCAGAAGAGTTCATTTAAATTGGTTGGTTTCCTGGCACTGACCCAGCTTTCAAACATAGTCCACAAATTTTCAATAGAGTTTTGGTCAGAGCCTTGGAAAGGTCATTCCAGTTGCTTTATCCATTCCAAAACCGGCTTTGATGCATGCTTTGCAACAGTTGTTGATTTGAGATGAAGCTGAAGAATTTTGAGGTAGTCCTGCATTATTTCTTCCACTTTGTGCAATGTGCCAGTACTACTGATAGCAAAACAATCCTAGAACATGATGATACCACCACCAAGTTTGACAGCTGGTTCAGTGTTATTAGGTTTGAAAGTTTCACTTTTATTGTGAAACGCAAACATAGCTCTTTACTGTGATCACATAGCTCAGTCTTTTTGGTCACATAGTGTTTCTCCAGACTTTCCTCCAGAAGGCATTTGGCTTGTAAGGTGTTGATTTTGGAGCAGAGGCTCCCTTCTTTGTCAGCACCCTCACAGGCTTGAGTTTTGGTGGTTCTTGGGTTGTTCTTGAACATCCTAACCAATTTCTTCTTATCTGAGGGTGACAGTTTGGACACTTCTTCCAGATTTTGGCAAAGTGGTGACACATGAAAATAACCTACACTGCACTTGTTTAAACTGATGATCTTGGAATCTGCAGTTGTTTAGAAATTGCCCCGAGACCTTTGCAGCTTATGCAAATCTACAATTTTCCTTCTTCACTGAGCTGCTTAGACATTCCCTTTTAAAAAGTTTTGCTCAATCCAATTAGTGCTGTCAAAGAAATCCTTTTGATGATGAGAGGTGATGAGAAATTAGCAGTTGTAGTCAAATGTGATCACTAATGGGAACCTTCAGCACCATTTATTTAAAAAATAAATTAAAAATACAATTTAAAAAAGGAAGTTTATGTACATGCTAAGAGTCTATACTTTTGGCTGTGCGGATTAGAGAAAATCCAAACTAAATTCAAACTTGTGCACCCAGTATTTGTTTGTTAAAGTCATTAAAGATGCATGCTGTACAATCAGTTCACCTGGGGAAAAGATCAGTTCAAAGAAATCATTAAAAGATAGTATTGTATTTTTTTTGTTAACATCATTAAAAAATGTAAAATTATAAGAACTGAAAAATATACAGCTCTATATAGCTCTAGCCTCAGTAACCAACATTTACCACTAGGTGGAGGCAAATGCTTACTTAAATGCTGTAGACACCTTTATTGATTAAAATCTGCTGTGAACTGTGCAACGTCCAAATTGGACAAAGTCTGAGATTTATTCAGAAGTAACTGGCAGCTGCAGCCACAATTACAAGGCCCTTTCCATAATATTTTCCAAATTAAAAACAAAGACATACGAATTGAGGAATAAATACATTACTGAACAGCATGTACATATTTTTTTAATAGTTAATTTCAGTATAATATAATTTCAGTCACAGCTAGGGGTGGTTTTATTTACACGCATTGCTGGTCAGTTGGCTCTTTAGGAGCATATCAGCTACATTGGAAATAATATAATTTTCTTTTAGATATTTTATTCTTATAAGAAAAGAAAAGACAACTCTGAGTATAATATAACGATGCAGCCTGATTAATACCTCCTCTGTGTGCAGCGGATCATTCACTGTAATTTCTAATTAACACATTGCTATTTACTCTGCTGGATCATTAGGCCTCATCACAAAAGGATAATCCAGTCAAATTGAGAGTTTATGCTTCCCTTTCACCTTCCAACATGGCACTACATGCTAATAAGGCAAGTTGAAATTGTCCAACAAATTAAGACAAATGTTGCCTGTTTAGCCAAGGAAAATATACTGAGCCAAGGAATACCAATTTATCTTAAATATTTATAAATGATGTGATGACTTTTTATTTTTAGTTAAGTGAATCCTGGAAATATTTAAGAAATCCAAACAAAAGTGAGAAATATTTAAATAATTTGAAAATAAAATACTATCAAATGAGAAGGACATGAGACAGTAAACCCAGTGAAAGAGAAATGTTGTGGTTTTGTGTTGCACCTTTTTTTTTTTTTTTTTTTTGGTAAATCTCTTCCTTCAATATACAGTTAAGCACCAAGAAGCAGGCATTCAGAGTACAGCTGGTCCACTGTGGCCCAGCATTGGATTTAAACAGTAAAATCTAAAACAGCATTGTCTGATGGATAATATGTCAGGATTAGTCCTCCTTTTAAAAGTAATACACAAACTTGGGATCTGCAGCAGACCCCGCCTTTCATCCTGAAAGGATAGGGTGAACGTTAGGATCAGAAACGCAGGCTGTATGCTATTTGTGAAGCAGAATCATTAGGAAGGTTCTCTGACCAATTTCCATAAGTGGGGTAGCGGGAAGTATTTAGGCTACTCGAAGTATATCACTAATGAGAAAAGACAAAAAGGATTCATGTGCATGTTTTATGCAATCTCTTTTTGGGTGTAGATGAATAATTATTTATGATTGCAAAGCCTAAAAGGGAGGCAAGAAGATAGCAACCGAAAAGAGACTGGTAAAAAATTTAAAGAGGAAGTTAAATGAATATTTAAGGGAAGATGAAATATTTAATGGAAACAAATGAGCAAAACATTTAAAACGGCATGATAAATAGTAGAGACTGCTATTAAAATGGCCCCCATAATTTGTGCTATTTGCTACAGTAGCCGCAAGGTCTCAGTCACACTTGTAATGGTGTGAACCGAGGACTCTGACAATTGTTTTCACCGTGCCAGACAGTGTACGGAGACTCTGTATCTGTAACCCTGAGATGACCTTCTGTCTGAGAAATATTAGCCTTTGATTCATCGCAGTTTGTATTGATGCCACGAGGAAGAAACATTTTATGTTTTATTGACTGTCTTCACGTCGAGGTTATGGTTTAAAAAAACACAATTGTCTGAATTTGGTTCCAGATAATTTCTCAAGAGATATTTTCCGAAAAGAAGTCATCAGTCATTCTTTTAGTCTGACACTCACCTGCATACACCAAAAGAAAACAAAAGATCCAAAGTATGTACCAGCACGCATTCATTTGTTTTCCAAATGTGAAAATAATTAAATCAGCAAACAAATAATTATTCAAGTCAATGAGAACAATTATCTCAAAGACGCCTCTGAGACTTGGATGTGCATACTGAACTGATTAATTATCTTGCTGAAGCTAATTGAGTGGAGCTAGATCTTTGACTGCTTTCCCTCAATATGCCTTCCTTTTGATTACGTGAGGAATATCGTGTGCGCCATGCAAAATGTGGTCGAGAAATGCCCCAGTAAATGCCAAGGTGTAATGGCATAGTAATGGCAGTTTAAGAACTATGTTTAGTATTTTGCAGATCTCTTGCTCTACAGCTGCATGACATTATTCCTCTATGGGTCATAAGGAAAAAAGCTAAAAATGTCTGCGGATAGAAAAAAAGAAGCATGCACACCTCTTATGAATTTTAAGTTTCACCACATATTCTAATTTTTTATTAAACTGCCTATTAAATTTATTATATTCCCTGCGCTCATCTGTCCAAGTTTAACTTTGTCTGGGTAGCTGTGTCATGCCCTTACTAACCTGTGGGCAGACTATTACTTACTTCTGAGCCAGACAGAGATCATTACCTCTGTGAATGATGGCAAGGCAGCCCGAGCCCAACAGCTTTATTTCCCAGCTCAACTCGGCGGACGCAAGCCATCACATCCTGTTAACAATTCCATGGCTCCACCATAAAGATAAGCTCTCTCAATCAGCTCCGTCTGTCTCAGTCGCCGCTGAAGGGCCATCAGTCATCACTACCCGGGAACGGAGCCCTCCTTATTCACTTGTGATTGACACCGTTTAGATGATTCAGCTAGAATCACCAGGCTGTTTATTTCCTCAGTGGAGCAGCGTGGTGTTTTCTGATTAAGGGAGTTCATTAAATATTTATTTTTTTGATATCAGCGTATTCAGGTTTATGTAATCAGTCTTTTCTCTCTGAGCAAATATTGGCCCTTTTCATGTGGAATTTGACCAAAACGAATTAAGTCAGAGGCTTTGACATTTTAATCAGAGTGACCACAGGAAGCAAATTGCCGCTGTCAAACCACATGAAGGTCGTTTGAGTTGTTAAGAATCTGCTTGCCGTAACAGTTAATCTGTATATTCTAATGATTCTTTTACATGTGGGAGGTGGTTGATATTTTATGTATAAGCACACATTCTATTCAAGGCCCTTTATTCTATTAACCTGCACATCTTTATTAGATCCTTTCTAAGATAATGCCTGTATGGCTTAGCCTTTGATAAATATGCTTTTAGGTCTACCTAATTAATCCATTCCGTTGTGATTTTCTACACTTGTCACCCACTCTTTAACCTCGTAGCGAAGGAACAGACTCTTCCTCCTCAAATTAAAGGTCCTCTGAGATGCTGTACATGTGTGAGCTAATGATGTGGCGCGCTGTACAACCTGATGTTTTATCTTAAGGGCCTCATTGAAATGTTTTGAGTAAAAATGAATTGCGTGACCTCACTGTTGGAGTGTAGATATATTCCAAGCAAACATGTTTAAGTTTGTTGTGTCTGAATTAAGCGATGACTTTTTTGTTTTCAGTTTAAATCTTTTAATAGTAATATAGTTTCAATATAATAAAACTAGTATACTTTTATGCACATATTTGCTTTGTGACTATATCCTCAGTATCCTTCAGTTCACAAATGATTTGTACCTATCATTTTTAAACTGGGATTTCTCATATGTTATTAATTATTAATGCAACTTTACATTAATTTGAATGTCAGTATACATGGCTACTTTGAAATTCGTGTGGGCACAAAGCATTGGCATGGTGTTGAGACAGCATTTTTGAAAAGGACGCAGGAGAATAGACCTCTACTAGCTAAGTCTACTTTTACAAAATTAATTAAAGCAATTCAGCATTTTTAAATGTACCACTCAATTTTACCTTTTCCTGCCAGCATTAATAGACTTTCCAGTCATGCGGTCAAGGGAACATTCATAGATATAATGAATGGGATAAGGTGATCAGCGTGTAGACTCTTGGCCATTTCATAACGAAATCTGCTAAGCAAGAAAAAGAACAGCTGCACTCCTAATTAAAATACACTGTGTGTCTTTTCATCTTTAATATGTTATATTTTTTAGAGAAAATGGCATACTGTCATTTGCAATTTAAGTATGTTAGAAACTCAAATATGGTGTTTTAACCAGATATAACCTGTTCATGTAAAACGTTACAATGGGGCCAAACAGGGGATGTGGTTTAAAATGTCACTATACGAGTTCGAGTTACTGGCTCCGACTAGTATCTGTTCCAGGAAGCTTGGTGCTAAAACAGCACCTTTACAAGTAGTAAATATAGTCTTTACACATCTAGGACAAATGTTGTCAGGAAGAAGCTGCTAAGCTTCTTGTGCACTCGGCAACAACAGGATCTTAACAAAAGATTTTATTATTGTTTTATTTCAGTGGGAACTAAACTGACAGCATGGTGGTGTAGTGGGTCACACTGTAGCCTTAAAGGAAGAAGGTCTGGCAGAATCCTCCAGCCAGCTCTTTCCCAGCTCCTCTCCTCTGTGTGCAGCTTGCACGTTCCCTGTGTACTCTCTCCGGGTTCTCTGTCTTCCTCTCATAGTCCAAACACATGCTTGTTAGGTTAATTGGTGATTCTCAATTGGTTGTAGTTAGGAATGTGTTATGTGTCTCTGTTTGTTATCCAGCATGTACCCCAGCTCTCACCCTATGACACCCAGGATAGGCTCCAGCATTAGTGGAAGAAAAGAGAAAAAATGGATGGAAAATTGTACAGAAAAAGCTAGAAGGCACACTTTTTTAGGTTGTTTTTCCCTAACAAGCTACAAAGAATATTATTTATTTATAGATTAATATTATATCATTTGCATTGTGCCATTTAAGGTTAAGTTAAATAGGTTAGATTAGGTGATAATATTTACTCTTATAGGAATATTGGGTAGATCTGGTACACTGCACATCAGGCTACAACACTATTTATATAATAACAGTGAATTTTTAATTTAGTTAGGTTCAGTGAGGACACTCGTCTTAAAGATCGACACACAACTTCTATTTCTAACTGTAAGAGTTATAATATTATTTGGGAAAAACAGAGTTCTGATGCTTGCAGAATATGTCAAACAACCTTTAGTACATTCACTGTCAAAATGCCAAGACTATTTCAAAATCAGAGGCTGATCAATCCCTCAGCCAACACAAAAGTCTTTGAAGAACATTTTTAATTTAGTGTGTCAGAAATACCTACCGGTAACTGTCAGTGCGTGCATCTTACATCCAGCGCGTGATGAGAAAAAACAAAACTTATAATTACTCTTACTGTCACTTCTTCACAATAAATGTTTAAGTTTCCAGCCATGCAAAACAATAAATACTGTGCACAAAAGCTTCCCTTTTCCCTTTCTGGCTTCAAGCAAAGAATTTATTCACTATTACAGCCAAACAACGTAACTACAAGAATACTTTTCCTTGTCTTTTAAAAAGATGAAATATTTTCTCTGCTGTGTAATTCTCCTCTCTGTATTTCGAGAGATACTGACCTAAAAAGGTTGATCAAAGACTGTTGGAACTCCACAGCCTGCAGCAACCAATAAATTGGTCCATTCGATGTTTTGCACTGACAAATTATTCTCCAGAGTACTAACATTCTTGGTAGCAACTCAATTAGCAAGAGACAGATGTAGCAAGAATTCACATTTATGTTTCATAGACATTTCAATATTTTATTATTTCAGTGCATGTTGGCACGGACTCTTTTATGTCATAGAAATGATAACTGTTTGCTAATTCTCACATGAAGCGGTGGTTGTTTTGGTTGCTTATTGCAGATTTGTAAGGAAGCTGCACTTTGTGTAAAAGCCTCGAGGCTTTCGCACAATGTTGGAATGGCCTTGAGCATCCATATGTTTTAGTTTAACTGTTAAAAGCCAATATATTTTTTATTGTAGCTCGGGGTGGGGGCAGATCCCACTCACTGTTAATGTAAAGAGAAATGTCGCCAAAAGAAAAGAGGAGAAATGAGACACTTTTCATTCTAACCATTAGTGATGCATATATATTTGAATTTCACGAGTGAATTCGGAGCATCTCGGTGTAACGTGAAATGATTGGTGAATTAAAATATTATCACATTATTCAGGTAAGAAGATATACAAAGCACTTATTCACTGATTATCAAATTACTGAAAACAATACCCCCACCTCGCCAGAAAACACATTTGCCATTCATCCGATCTCCTTTGCACAAGGGAATATGCACTATCATTAATATGCGTGGGTCCCCCTTGTCTGTGTTTGGGCATTTGATATTAACCCTCAGAATCACTGGTGACCTATCACACAAAACCATATGGTTAACAATGAGTGATCTTCCTGCTGTTCAAGCATCATTTACCCTGAGCTTTTCTGCACGATTCAATGAAGACAGGTGAAAGCATTAGGAGTTGTGTTCAGCTCACAGATTGTAGAGATTTAGATGAACTGTATCTTATTTTTATCTATACGCACCATTTGAACATTTTATTTAGCTCTTGTACTTAGATGCTCTGTGGATTACGGAGCATCAGCAACATAAATATCTGATTATACTCATGTTTTGAAAATCAAACATTGGGGATTACCACCTTATGTCCCAGGAACTGAGTCGAGTGAGGTATGATGTACCAATAATGCATCTCCACACATACAAATACCACCAAAACAAGCTGAGTGCCTGAGCTGCAAAACACATGGCACTCTTTCCGCTATGCAAATATGAAATTGAACCAGAGCACAGAGCAGCATTATAGTCTCACTGTACATTTGCAGAGAACATTTGAGAATACCAGACTGCATAATTAACTTCCAATTGAAAAGTTCCCTCGAGTCAATCCTCTGCTTTATTAACAAAGTAATGAAGCTATTTTTTAATTGGCCATTTCTTTGTAAACCAAATTAAATAAAATGACAAGGGATGTGTTGCTGAAGCTTATGATGTCTGGTCTTCTTTAGTTTTGTATTTATGTTTTTGTATATGGAAAGCATCTAACATGCACTGATGTGGGATTATTGATAAATTCTGTGCATATTTACTATTTACTACAAGGTTGTGCTTTTAGTGAATGTATGAAAACAAAATACCAGTTTTTATATGTGTTAGATGAGATATTGTAAATGGCCTGTATTTGTATAGTGCTTTACTTAGTCCCTAAGGACCCCGAAGCACTTTACACTACATTCAGTCATTCACCCATACTGGTGATGGCAAGCTACATTGTAACCACATCTGCCCTGGGGCGCACTGGCAGAGGTGAGGCTGCCGGACACTGGCGCCACCGGGCCCTCTGACCACCACCAGGGTGAAGTGTGTTGCCCAAGGACACAACGACCGAGACTGTCCGAGCCGGGGCTCGAACCGGCAACCTTCCTATTACAAGACGAACTGCCAACTCTTGAGCCACGATTGCCCGATTGTGTAAAGAAAAATGTTATGTTATTATGTGTATGTAAGCATGGATTTTTGTTATAACAATTATGTTTTTGTCTTTACAGATACTGACCGAGATTTGTATGGTTTACTATGTAAGTATATCTTTATTAAAGGCAATGGAAACAAGATACTTTTACTGTGGATTTTTAGTTTACTACAGATGTTCAGTGGAGTGTGTTACAACTGATTCTAATTAATCCAAATTTAAAATCATTTTAGATATAGTTACTAATTATTTATATCATTGTTTATTTTTTTCTTGTTTAATTTGAGATTTTTCATGTGTCCACATGCAGAAGAAGTCACCACTTTTTGTGTGAACATACGTATTCCACTTATGTATTTTATGCAGTCTCGCTGGCTGCCTGCAAAAAAGTAAAGAAGACATTGAATGGCATTCTAAAATATAATGTAGGGCTATGACAGTTTCAGAAACATAGCTGCAGTGCTCATAACAGTTTGAGATTGAGCCGAGTGTTTCATAATTTAGATCAAAGTAAAAAAAAGAAAGAAAGAAAAAAACGAAAGCACAACACGCCTTTGTGGTACTGCATGAAAATGTCTTGCAGCATAGCTTAAAGAAGACAACCAAAGGCTTGATGAGCAGCTGTGAGGACATCAAACAATTCTGCCTCCTCCTGAAGAAATACTAGAGAATTTCTTTGGTAAGTGAGTCTGTGTTTTTGTTGGCAGAGATTTCAGAATCAGTGTTGCACTTAGCTGCAGGGAGGCACCAGTGGAGGACTACCTGGATAGCCTTCCTAACCACAGATATCACCCACAGTGGATCATTAGGATCGTGCCAAAGATGGATGGCTATTTTCTGCACGACTTGCTGGCCGCCACTGTAAGAGTAGGGCGCATGCTTTCCTCTGGTCCCTTGGCCTGCGTGCTGACCTGCTCTTGGGTCTTAGTTAACATTCAGGGAGCCCTGACCTGAAAAGCAGGCTTGGCAGCAGAACCAAGGTCCCATCCTCCCCAAAGAAATTAGAGGTGGTAATCTTTCAGGAACAACTTGCTAACCTCCCAGACCATGTAACCACGGGATGCAGATAATTGCCCTGCTTGTGTTTTGCAACCTCTCTGTATCTCACTGTCGCTGGTAAATGACAGGTTGTGTCCAATTTGTGTGTATTTGACAGCTGAGAATTGACAAACGATGGCTAGGGCCAAAAGAAGGTTACATTTAAACACAGCTCAGGTCAATGAGGTAGATGTCTCCATGCTGAATCACTGTCAGGAAAACTAATGATATAACATTATAACACAACAGACCACGGTAAAAGATGAAGTGTGAGATGTCATATTGGTACTATAATCAACCAATGTCTGTTTCAACTGCACATTTATCTTGATTTTGCATAGACATTCACATATTCTAGTCATTGCTGAATGGAAACACTGAGGAATACATACAAATAGCTGTTTATGCAGGCAGATCCTTTCGCACCACACAAAACTACTGTGACATTATGGTTTCTCACTACAATATTATAGCCTCACCAGTTTTAATAATTATCGTTTATATATTTTTTCCCTGTAATACTACTGGGACTATTCCAGTTTCAATGTAATGGAAACACAAAACCCACTCTGTTAAGCATTAGAAGCAAATATTTAATTCGCTGTGTCTAAGATGTGTTACACCTGCTGTAGCAATTTCAAAAACACACAGGAAGTCTGAATAATCAACACAGAAAGAGCTTTGGAACCAGCACGCGAGTTGTGGCATCTTGACAAGTCTTTAAGTAAGTCTTACAAGAACAAACACCCCTAGGCTCACTTGCTTCGGTGCTTAAGTCACAACAGATACAGCCACAAAGCTGCCACGCAAATCAGAAAAAGATGTCCACTATTTTACAAAGAAATCCGAAGCGAAGGGGAAGTGCTCCCTGTTTTTAGTTAATGAAGAAAACTTAATTTAGTCTCATGAATATCAGAAATGCAATTTTTATTTATGTTCTTCTTTTTACAAGTAACAATCATTATGGCAGCTAATAATAAGCATTAGTAGAACCTAACTCCATGTAGCTGGAGGTTATGTGGACATGGAGTGTCCAGGAAGCTCAAGGACGGCCCAGACTCCCAGATTAAACAACATTCACTCTCTGTCAAATGCCTAGCTCCCAGAACTGCCAAGCCAGAGGAAAATGAGCCCCCACATGACCCTCGCTGTGGATGACAGGATAAAACACAAGACAGTTGTGCCTGAAGGAGACTCGGGATAACGAAATAATCTTTAATCTCTGTCCCTTCAAGGCACTTTCAACACCTGTTATTCTTGATGGCATTGTGAGAGAGGGCAGTTCATAGATTCATTTTAAGCCTGGTAATTATTACACTAATTATTCACTTCGGTGTGGGGTGATTACCAGTCCTCGTTCAGGTGAATACTCGTCCGCGTGTACAACAGCTGTGGCCGCAGCAGCTTGGTGGAACAGTTGTTCCACTCCTTTTTCCCTTGCAGATATTTGACCTTTTGTCATGTTTGCAATCTGTACTTTGGGGGACGGTGGAGGGGGGATGAGAGAAAAACAGCCAGAAACTTTTAATTGCTCAATAGAAACAGTAGTGAAAGGCACAGGGTTGGCCATCTGTTCAGCCCACATCTCTTTAGCAAAGAAACTTTCTATTTAAACAGGTTGCTTGGTTTCCATTACCATATATGATGAATATAAGGTACTCCATGGGCTAAAAGGAGAGTTACTGCGGCGTTGTCCTGCGTAAGAATGAAACATTATTTCTCCTAAATTAATGAGTACTCATAGTATTTTTGCTCTATCTCTTTAATAATGAATGAATCAAGATATATTCTTTTCATTTAATGGGATGCATTTATAATCAGAGCTTGAAGGTCCAAAAGCCTTAAAGACAAATATTTCTGCTCTTTGACTAGATTTAATTCAATTAATAGAAATACAACATCAAATACTATGCCTCCATTAACAGATCTTTCATGTTAAAAATGAGTATCATGAATATTGCATCCGTGATCATATGAAAACAGTTATTCTCTGATGCGTTTAGGTTTCAGAAAGAAACGCCACACCAGCAGGCCATTGTTTCAAAATGAAATGGCACAAAAGGGTGGCAATGAAATACTTTTGAATTTTCTGCCATTTGTATTCGTTAAGGTAAAGATGCACCATATTATTTGTCATCAAAACCAACAATGCATTTTTCTGCTCGTCAGTACTTTGTTGTTCCTGATCTCCTATCTCCACTAAAAATGTAACTGTTAATTGAAATATTCACTTCCGTTTTTTAAACTGTTTTCATGTAGAGAAAAATCTGGCCACTGTATTTTTAAGACGAATAGATAGCATTAAATAGTTGCTTGGTTGTAGATCAGCATATGTAGGAGTGATTTATTTAACCGAGAAGAAGTTATTTAACATAAGAAGAATTGACTTTAAGTAAATTGCATTTCCTGTGTTTATCACAATCATTGTTGAAATTGTTGTCATTTCACCACTTCACATATGTGTTACACAGACATCATTTGTCATTCATTGCTAGCTTAACCCTTTTATTACTTTGCAAACGCACACAATTTCAAAACAGGAGATAACAAGCGTTATTGCAGTACTGTGATATTGTATGTTACTCTCCAGCTCTCCCATAAAACCTGGATCCATAGCTGTGAATCCTGTTGGCACACACACTAAATACAACATATCTCCATACAACCCACCCACACGTGCTCTGAAGTGATCCGCGCACCTTCGACTAACCTTCAAGAAACTCAAATGTCAAATCAAAGTCTTCTGAAGTTAGAAAAACCAGTAAAAAGAAATCCAATTCTTTCTCTTCTAAAGGTCAGGTTTCACTGTCCCTGGAAGCACTGCTGAAATATAAATGCTCTGTAACGCCATTGTCTGCTCATTGCTATACACTCTAGGCAATGTCAATTTTGTGGAAGTACTTGCAGATTAAGTCAGCCGGACGTCAAGGGCCCTTGAAGAAGCTGCTATCTTGTAGTAGCGAGGGGTCTGAAAGCCCTTGTCTATTACCAGAGACACCCCAAGGACAGATGTTTTAGGCTTAGGGGGGTGATAGAGAATAATAGCACATTAGATTCCTAATGTATCTTGGATGCAGGACTCAGGAGAGACAGAACTCCTGGGTAATCCAAATTCATTTCTCTCTCCCTCATTTCCTCCTTTCTTTCTTTCTTTTTCTTCTTTCCATCCAGTGTTGAGTCCTTGCTGCCTCTTGAGGTGCTGAATCTTAGCCTGAAGCTACATGCTACACAGTCCATTCATCAAAACCATGACCCTCTTCAGTCAGGGACAGGATGCTATGGACTAATGAACTCAGTGCAAGGTATGAATGTATGCATGTCATGTTTTTTGCTCCATAGAGGAGGGAATCTTTACTTATTTCAGACTTCATAACACATCAAACATACCAAACAGAAGAGCCTGGTCTGCCTGCTGTGCCCTAATGTCATTGATCTTGTTATGGGAGGGAAATTATTCAACTAAAAACAACCCTGAAAGGCTGAGTGTCATTGTGATATATCATGTGTGATATTGGCTTCAACAGGCAGTATACTTGGGAAATGGATGTATATGTTTGATTTAGGAGGAAAAGCACTTGCGGGGAAATAGGTTTTGTCAGTCAATCTTTTGTCAAGATTTTCCTACAAGGCCTCGATCTCTGGTAAATATATTGTCATAAAGCTAATATGTAATGAAGAGCACTGGTGTAGCATTCCCCTCTGGAGTTTTTGAACTGTCGTACATCATAAGCAAATTGGTGCTAAAGAAATTTTCATTTTCTGTCTCAGCATGAATCTGTGGTCTAGGCTAATAAACACATACGAGTTGTATGAAATAGCACCCCAACCCACCAATCCCTTCCCACCACCACCACCGAGGAGCCCCCACTCCCCATTCTCCAACCCCAGGCCAAGGGTACACCTTGATGAGCAAAGAGGGAGGCTAATTCAGTCCTCAGGCTTAATTAATCCTATGTCTTATTTGATGAATGGCTCCCAAATTGTGCTGTAATAGTGGTATTTTTTTTGTGTGTGTGCGTGTGGAGGGGGCTGCGGAGAGGTGTGTTGACACGAAGCTAGGAGAAAGTCAAAGTCGGGACTTCCGAGAGGCTTCACTTGAGGCTTTGTTTGCAAAGTTGCCGTCCTCTGTAGACAGATAAAGCCCTGTCCTCTGACGTCAGGCCAGCAGGAGAGAGTGATGGTGTGCTGTAGGGAACATGTGTTTATGGATCTCTCCAAGCTAAGATCACTATAGGAGTCCACCGGCTTTGCCGCACGCTGGGTTTGTCACTTTTTGCCAAACATGATTTGTTGTCTGTAAATACGCAGAGTGCCCTGTACTTTTCTTTCTTTTTTTATTTGAATGCTTGCCTCAGGGGGATAACACATTACATTGACAAATCCCATGTTTGAATTTCTAATGGGAGGTGCCTAAACTATTCTAAACCAACAGTTTTTCTTTATGATGAATCTGAATGTGATGCTAAATTGTTCAATTATTTGGCCAAGGTTATATTTGAAAGCATGAGATAGTGTAATTCATAAATCTGTTGAGACAATAAATATATAAGTTTACTAAATAAATATATAATTATTGTGTTATGTATCTATTTTTTTCTG